AGAAGACTGGGAAGAAGAAGTATACAAGCAAGGATGAGATGCCACTGACCCGCCAGAAAGTGGAGGACGGTTCCATTATGTAATGCAACTGCAGAATGAATTTCGAATGCTTCTTCATGCTCAATCATGATATATTCACAGGAAAAGAAGGAGACCATTCTGGACGACCTGAGAATGCTGGCCAAGATCGACCGCTCGATTGTGGTGCCACCCCCGGAAAGATTGGCCGACTGCACGCCCTCAGGCTTTTGATTATGTTTATCGTGTGTGCTAGGTAGTGTCAAGGACTCTAGTCTAGCTCAGATTCGGCAGTTGTGCTTGGCCAAGGAGCTACACGCTGAAGCCGTCCGTGAAGGTGAAGCAGCTGTATAATTCTCCACGCACCACCATCAATGTCTTGCTCCCTGCCTGCATTGTTGGCCGATCTGTCTGCATGCTTCCATCTACACTGCCTTTGGTGTTTGTTCCTTCTGCTCTAGTTATAAGTATGTTCGAATGACCCTACTCCGGATGTTTATAATTCTGGCTTGGCAATGCTCAGGCTGGGTGGCAGCTTCCTGGTCAATGGTGTGGATAAGACAACGCTCGAGGCTGTGAATAAATTCCACAAGCTGCAGTACCAGGTGCAATCAGGGTCTTATGGTGATGTTTGCAGCTTCGCATTGGTTCATGCATGTTGCTCTGGATCTGTGGTTTTGGGGAACTGCCAATCCAAGGCTAACAAGCAAGACGGAGTGTCCATCACTTGGGTGAAGGGTGACCAAGGGTCACTTCAACGGCAGCTTCTCGGTTGTTTGTAAGTTGATTTGTCAATTATAATGTCTCGATCATGGAGCCAAGGTACATGATTGCCAAAAAGATTGCAGGATGGTTGAAACCTACGTGGACGTGATGCTATCGTGTCACACGTGTGACTTGGGATGTGATCTGTGCTGCTCCGACTGCAAAAGAACAGCAACGGTCAATTCCGTGAGTTACAATGATTGTGCATATTCACCATGGGCATTGCGATCATGCGAAGTCTCCATTGAAACTGCTGCCGGCTACCAGAGGCGAGCTACGTACTTTCTACAGACAGGGGGTCTATGTGTGTACATGAACAAACATGTAATAACTCCGAAACGGGTGTGACGAGTCCTGAATCCTGCCATCGACCTGAGGTGTGTGTGTGTGTGTGTGTGTCTATGTCTGCATGTTAGATTAGATTGCACAGTACGTCTGCAGCCATGGATCCCATGAAGAAGTCACCGCTGTCTCTCTCGGCATCAGCAATCGCCACCTTGACGCTGATGGGTTGTCACAGTGTGCTGCCAGCCACTCAACTTCCAGCTTGCTGTAGCCTGGTAAGATCTCAGACATGTAGGATATAAAGACTGCAGGATTCATTGCTGCGATTACATTGTGCAGAACAGCCCACCCGACATGTCATTCAGAGCTGGGCACTCAACTACTCATGAGAGTCGCACCGCCTATCATTTGCAAACTAATAGACCGTATTGCTCCTCAGGATTTGGTTCACTACGACATGTTCAGTGGAGTGAGAAATATGCAGCGGCAGTACTGCAGGGGGCCTGGTGGAGTGTCCATGTAACGTACTGTGTTGTCATGTAGTAGGTTCATGTATATGGTGTGTGTATGCCTGGTCGTGCTGCAGGCCTGTCAGGGCTTCGCTCGTGTCTCATTAGCAACATGGATAGCATCCACCTGTGCAGTTGCACAGACTTGCATGCAACTCAGGGACTATATGGATTCGTCGTCCCGGCCAAGCGATGATATCTGCACCACGCTGCTCACCTTGGATTACGAAGCTTTTACTGTTCTCGCAGCTCTGACCCAAAGCTCACATTCTTATATTAACTATACCTAGACCCCAACCCCGAGAACTCATTCTAGTGGAAGTGGCTCGTACTCAGATCAACAAGAGTCGGAACACCTCCCCTAAGCCCCGAATTCAGCCCCAACCAAACCCTAGAACCCCAAACCTCCAAAGCGCAGATCTAGAAGCCTATGTTCAGAAAAAGCCATGAAGCCCGAATAATACCAATTCCTCTACTATGATCATGATCATTTGACCTAACTGAGGTTAGGATTCATCTCTGCGATTCGCTCGGCCTTGAAATTGAAAGCCCAAGTCGGCATGGCCACCATTGGTGTTCCATGCAACAGCTATGTCTTCATGAATGCAGCAACTTCTGGTCGCAGCAGAGACGAGCCATTAGGAAATGAAGAGCTGGAGTATGTTCGCACTTCGAACAAGTTGCTTGGAACAATACCCTATACGTTGATATGGGGTAGCTGCCCGTTACCCACACTCTCTCTCTCTCTCTCTCTCTCTCTCTCTCTCTCTCTCTCTCTCTCTCTCTCTCTCTCTCTCTCCCTCCTCTCTCTCTCTCTCTCTCTCTCTCTCTCTCTCTCTCTCTCTCTCTCTCTCTCTCTCTCTCTCTCTCTCTCTCTCTCTCTCTCTCTCTCTCTCTCTCTCTGCTTCTCTCTATGTGTATGTATCTCTCTGTCACTCCCTCCCTCCCTTCCATAGCTATGTTTCAGACCATGCTGCCACCAATAAGGATCTGTGCCAGGGTATGCCTCATCCTGCTCTTGATGACGGTCCGCCAAACCTTCTTTATGCTGGAACAGCCGGCATCGTCACTCTTGGAGTGGTCACCATATATGAGGCACGTCTTCGCGACTTTGAAACGGTTCATGCCAATCCATCGTACATTCTTGCCGTTGCCCCAGGATGCATGCAATACACATGTGCAGTGCTTGTGCCTCTCCTTTGTTTCCCTCTCCCTCTCCGTCTCCCTCTCCCTCTCCCTCTCCCTCTCTCTTCTCGTGGCTCCGTTTTGGGAACGCCTGTTGTTGTTGTGGTCTCTCTTCTCGTGGCTCCGTTTTGGGAACGCCTGTTGTTGTTGTTGTTGTTGTGGTCTCTCTTCTCGTGGCTCCGTTTTGGGTCTCTCTCTCTCTCTCTCTCTCTCTCTCTCTCTCTCTCTCTGTCTCTCTCTCTCTCTCTCTCTCTCTCTCTGTGCCTCCTGTCCATCTAAGCTGGCTTGGTTCCTGGGGCCACTTCAGCCCCAAGGGCTCCCTGGCCTTTGGGACACTGTCTCCCTGCTGAAATTATGTAACATTCGACTGGGCTGGGGCCTTGTCAGCTGCAGGTGTGAGTTGTTACTGAGGGGTGGGGTTTCCAAGCTCTTCAAGAAGCTGACGCACAAACGGCGGCTTCGGCTGGGCTTGACCTCGAATGGTGTGTCTTATAGACGAAAGAACAAGTATGGGAAGACGGTGGTGCAGGGGGCCGAGCTCATCATCGTAGCTTATATAATGAGTCCTTTCTGATAAAACCTGGATCCCTGCTGGCTCTCCCAAGGACCGGTGGGCCCAAGCTAAAGCGAACTGCTGAGTACCCGCAGAAGTTTTGCAACAAGGTCCTGAAGCTACACATGCAGTTCGTTGAATCTGGGCAGCATGAGTTGCTATATGTTGTTGCAGTGCCACAACATGAACTTAATCAAAGGAGAAATCTGGACACAAGATCGTGCAGTGGCTGCAAGATGGTCGGGATCTCCTTGCTGCCGGCCCAAAGGCAGGATCTATTGGCGCAGTGGGGTGGTACAACTTAAACCAATTGTGTTTCAAGTGCTTGCCGCCAGGTCCCGAAGCCACTGGATTGGGTGCACGCCGAACTCGGAGAGGTTCTTCAATTCCTGCGGCAGGAGGAGCAAGCAGGGCGTTTCAAGCCGCTGTCTCGCCTGTGAGTACTAGCTTATAGGTGTTCTGCACACTTAAAGTGTGGCTGTGACATTTAATTCCATGAGGGCTCCTTTAATTCAGCGAAGTTCACAGATGATCTTTGGGCCTCAGGCCTAATTAGTTGTTGTTCTGGAGCAGAATATGCTGCTCTGAGCAGAAGAATCCAAGCGCAATTGGACACGCACCACAGCGTGAGTAAAGCGTGAGTGGAGCGTGAGTGGGCGTGAGTGCTTATATAGCCACAGTCATAGGCTGTGTGCAACCACCCCGGAAAACCGTGAGCAAAGCGTGACTTTAGCGTGAGTTGTCGTGAGTGTCTTTTATGACCATTGATTGGCTCCTTGATCTAGGACCTTTGGGAAGGAATCCTTACCATGCTCTGCAGTTGCACTTATGTTGATTTGTGGATCATCTGCAATATAATGTACAGTGTACTTAGCTAAGTCTAGGAAAGCCCGGCCCCTCCATCATGGCCTCGGCAGTGAGTGAAGCTCTTGCACGTGCAAAAGCCCTGAGGGCAAAGGCCTTGAACCAGGGCCCACCGATCGAGGAACCGGAGGTGCCGCAGACTGCCAAGCCCTCAACGCAGCCTTTGAAGCGAGAGCTGCCCACACCGGGCCGACGACCCGTCAAGCGAGAGAAGAAGCCAAGCCCAAAGCCGACGTCGAACCAGGCCAGCACAAGGGGAGTGTTCATGTATGTTCGTGCTCGATCTAGATCTAACTATAACTACTATCTATACTAGCATGATGTGCCCTGTCCTGGCAGGCCGTGGGTCCGGCTCCAGGAGTTGCAGACATCAGCCAGGCAGGCTGCACCTGGGATTCTCCAAAGTTCCACTATATATCTTCCCTAGACCCCAAACCTTATCCCTAAGTCGCCAAACTAGGTATACTTATTCTCATCAGGGTTGAAAAGGGGTGGCTGTTTTTTGGGGGGGAGGGTGGAAACAAACATCTGACCTACCGGAGGCTTTCCACACAAGGCCTTATATTGGGTGGGGGTTTACGGGGTTTAGGGTCTAGGGCCCAGGGTCTAGGGTTGGGGTTAGGGTGTCGGGTATTTTTGCAGTTCGCTTGCAGTGAAGTTTCACCAGGCTGGGATCGATGAAAGGATGAGTGAAGCTCCAGAGGCATCCCATCCTGAGGCCGAGCATTGCATGTGACTTGAGTGTTTTTTGCAAGCCTGGTGCTCCCGAGTAATCTGGATACTCTTCATGCACGCAGGATATACTTAAACTTGGGTCCCAACAGGATGATGACAAAGATGCAAAGACTGATGCTCCACAGGAAGACAATGATCAGGCCCGGCCCATGTGGTCTCATGTATGTGTATAGAACTGAACCTCTAGGTAAAACCAATGCAAAGCCATGTCTGTGGCCTCAGGATCAAGTGCACATGGAAGATGATCAGCGGGGGCTCAATGCTCAAGAGCCTGAGGCCTGGTGTGGGACCACACATACATATATATGTGCATAACATAACATAATTTAACTAGTATAGATATTATATCGGTTATGGCATGACAATATATATATATATGTAGCATACAGCCAATGATCGGACATGCAACATGAAGTGCTTTTGCATGTACATATGCATACATACATATACATAGCATGTGTTCCTATACATATATATGTATACTACATACATACATACATACATACATACATACATACATACATACATACATACATACATACATACATACATACATACACACATAAATATATACATACATACATACATACATATATACATGAATATGCATAACATATACATGCACATTATACATGTAGAGGGTTTTTATAAACACATACCCCGATTAATAACTGCATGCTTCGTAGCCTGAGTCTACACGACACATCCAAAATGTTGTTCCATCCATGCGAGAGCTCTTGCTGCCGGAGGCTGCTGAAGATGGCTATCGTGAGCAAGGCTTCTCCGAGGCTGACACGTTGGAGTATCGGCAGCTTGCGAAGTTTCCTTCGACACAAGTGGAGGAATGGGACTGGAAGGGGAATGATTCATGGGGCTCAGGCTACGGTGTAGCTTGGTCGGCTTGGAATGATGATCAGTGGGGCTGGGGTTCTTGGGGCTGGAGCTCTACCCCTGGGTGGTGGAGCAAGCACCAGGATGATGACAGGTGCAAAGAAGCTGAAAGCCCAGGCCCACAAAGCACCCAGCAGACCCCGCAGAAGCAAACTGAGCCGCAGCCCCGCTCCGGCAGCACAACAAAAAGCCCAAAAAGCATTGAGAATGCACATGCATTGAAGCGAGCCACAACGATGTCTTCGCAGCCTGCAACCCCAGCAACCTCTCCTTTGAAGGCCTCGCCCTCTGTTCCAGCTACCCAGCCGTCCCCAACCACCTCCCCTGCAACAACAGGCCAGAACAAGCGCAAGCATGGTGACACAAGCCTCAAGAAGCCTGAGAAGGATGTGAGCACAGGTTCGCCGCAGGAGCAGTGGGCATCAATTCAGGATATCTTGCAACGAGGCCACACAGTGGACCGCCTCAGCGATGATGAACTCGCTGAGGTAGTTTTTCAGATCGACCGATTGAAGAAAAGCCGTTCGATGCCCGTACAGGAAACTGAAGCACCGACCCAGCAGGGACAGGAGGCACAAAAGGAAAAGGATGAGTCGCAGGCAACCGAAGCAGACAAGAAAAAGAAGGAGTCGCAGGCAACCGAAGAAGACAAGGAAAAGATGGAGTCACAGGCAACCGAAGCACAGAAAGAAAAGAAGGAGTCAGAGGCAACCGAAGCAGACAAGGAAAAGAAGGAGTCACAGGCAACCGCAGCACAGAAGGACAAGAAGGAGTCACAGGCAACCGAAGCACAGAAGGACAAGAAGGAGTCACAGGCAACCGAAGCACAGAAGGACAAGAAGGAGTCACAGGCAACCGAAGCACAGAAGGACAAGAAGGAGTCACAGGCAACCGAAGCACAGAAGGACAAGAAGGAGTCACAGGCAACCGAAGCACAGAAGGACAAGAAGGAGTCACAGGCAACTGTCGAAAAGGCTGGGGCAACCAAAGCAGAGGAGCAGAAGGACGGAGATCCCAAAGACAAGCGAGAATTGACACCGGAGCAGGAGGCAAAGCTTGCACTGAAGAAGAAACTCCATGCACGCTACATGAGATTCAGTCGATCTCTCACCAGCTCCTCGGCAAGCCAGTTGTGTATGGGTATATACATATGTGTGTGTATATATATATAGAATCCTACAAGTGGCTGCCGAGGCCACTGGACTTCGCTGCTGTGAAGTGAAACCTACTTGTACGAGAATTGTATGCAGACCTTCCTATATGTTTCAGTCTAGAGGAGAGAGAGATAGAGATAGAGAGAGAGAGAGAGAGAGATGGATAGAGAGAGAAAAAGAGAGAAGGGGAGAGTCGAAGCACTCGAGAAGTAGCTCAGGTGGCCGGACACCGAAGGAAGTGAGGAAGCTGGCTGACAGAGACCTGGATTCTGATCAGAGAAACTTCTTGTTCGAGCATTGGCTTCAGGCCAACGAGAACTGGAACGCATCCAAGCTTTTGGTTACCTTGAAGAACAAGTCCGGGAAAAAGAAGGTTGGACTCCGAAGGTGGCTGACAAAGGCCGACCTTCTGCAGAAGTACAAGGACGAGGAGGTGGTACAGGCCATCATAGATGCAAAGGTGAATGACAAGGAGCTGTGCAAGACACAGGTGAGGAACCATCCTGATTGCCCTCATCGCGAAGATCTCAAGCAATACCTATGTGTTGTAGATGATAGCGAGGAAAACTACGAAGGGGAAGAAGTGGAACACACGTTCGAGATGGACAACGATCTCGACGAGTCGAGCTCCGACCAAAGCAGTGACGAGGATGGTCAGGAGGAGGATGAGGAAGAGCAGGAGAGCAAGAAGCCAAAGAAGAAAGGAAAGCCCAAGCAGCCGAAGAGTGCGAAGAAGAACAAGAAGATCAAGAAAAGCAAGAGCTCCCCCAACAAGAAAAACCGTGCCAAAGCCAAGGGCAAAGCAAAGCCAAAAGGGAAAGCCAAGGCTACTGAATCATCACTTGTTTGTGTTTGGTTTCCACCCTACACTCTACACCCTACTTAAACCCCCCAATGCCCTGAACAATTATATAATGCCAGGCCAAACAGCCAACCGGCGGAGACGATGGAGAAGACAAGCCACTGAATGCAAAGGAGATGAAAGGCAAGGCCAGGAAGGTGGGAGCCCATATCCCTCATAAGTCTTCCCCCTGAGTTTCCAGAACCCTAAACCCTTACAGTCATGAGCCCCGAACCCTTAAATTGCAATGCTCTGTGCTAGGCAGTGGACAAAGCCACGGACAAGCTCCAAGCAGTACGAAAGTGCCAGGACGTGGAATCGTCAGAGAATGTGTGCTTGACTCAGATATCTTGCAAAACCATACATGTCATCAAACCGTTGCTCTTTGTTTGGTCCAGGGGTGACAAACTCCTGAAAGCCATGAAGGACGATGTCGAAGCCCAGGTGCAAGCTATATACACATTCTTAAAGTTTCCCAAACCCCACGACCTTATGACACATATCTGATCGATCCGAAGGCCTCGCTCATCCGGACGGAGAGAGCAGATCTGCAGCGATTGATGGATGAGTCCGAGGCCAATAATTTCCTTAGGTGGGTGTTGAGATCGGTTTGGGGTTTATAGGATTTCAGAATTGGAGGATCCGTGATCGTTTTAGAATAAGGTTACAATTATACGGGCTCTTTTCGTGCAAGTGTTTTTCATCTGCTTGGCTGTATAATAAAGTACCCAATATATAAACTTTGTAGCCCAACCATGTCTAAACCCCTATATATTGTTGCTCAATTATCTACAATATCATATAACACCGATTGGTCGAGTGACCAGGCTTTTTTGGGAGTACTTCGAGTGATTTGAATACGTTGAAGACATTACTCTGTATCCCCTCCGGGAATTTCGTAATAGAGAGTGATTAGTCTAAGATGGCATCTGGTCTGTAGTGCAATCATCGGGCTCCCCACTGAGATTGTGGCTAGCCTCTATATTGTTGGTTCTCAATCTCACCTGCAGAGGTGGCATCCATGCCGAGCGCCGTGGACAAGCTGACCACAACGTGTGACAAGTTTGATAAGATCACCAAGGAGTTCTGGAACAAAGTGAATGGCAAGTCGACTAAGAAGTGATGTGAAATGTGAACCGTAGCTGTGCATGTAGCTTTGTAATACTTGTGATTCTAGACTAGATGCTATGATGTTTACTTGCCAGCTTTCTTCATTTCAAGGCTGTGCCAGGGTGAACCTTGGCCACTGTGATTGTTGTGCCTGCCACTTTGTACATAGCAGAAAACTCTTGATGTTGCAGTCTGCGGGATGTGATGCTAGTTGAACATGTAACTACTGGACTCAAAACCCATAAACCCTGAACCCTTAAACCCTACATATATATATATATATGTGTACGTAGTTAGTTCATCACTCTTTGTCACCCTATAATAATACTAAATCAGGAGTACCAGGTGCATGGTGGCAGCCACAGGGGCCCGGATGTAGCAGCACCGGCAGCTGCTCAATGTGAGCTGTGTACACGGAGCACCTCAGATCTTTCAATGCTGATACAATCCCTCTAGAGCTTGCTGCTGCAACGAGCTGTGATGCTGAGGTGCCATGGGAGGTATGCAGTGCATTCTAGATCTAGTATGCTGCCATAGGCTGAGTCTGGGATCCAGTTTTGGTGGAGTTTTACGAGAAGCTTCGCCCGTGAAAAAATCTTTGCAACTGGAAGCCCTGGACCACAATATTGACAATACCCAGCAGAGCCCCTCAACAAAAGGCCACCCACATCCTTCGACCCTGAAACGCAACATTTATTTCCTGAACACTGAAACCAAGCACTGGGAGGGATTTGCGAAGCACATGCCAGGTGAAGATGTCGATAAGGATACCGATGGCTTGCTGCAGCATATGTACAACAAGATATCCAGTGGAGAGCCTTGGCTTCCAAATGTGCAGTCAAGGCACAATGTATTTCGGAGGCATGCTGCCTGCAATATGTCCTCAGCCCAGGCTTCCAGTATTGATGCAGCTATGAAAGATGCCCAAGCTGGTTTCCAGGACATCGATTCGGGTGCAATGTTGCATTGTTGTTGGCTCGATCAATATCTAATATACCTTGCCATGCCTGTTCTGATCAAGGACACCCAGAAGTTCTTCAAGGGCAAGACTATTAAATCGTTGATGCGGTTCAAGCCTGGAAATGCTGCACGTGACTTCTTCAAGACTGTGAAGCTTCCTCTGGTGCCCAGCAAGAAATAAAATAGCAGGGGGCATAGAAAACATAAAGAGGTTAAAACTATATATAGCTGCCCACCAACCCATGCACTTCCCAACAGCTAGCCGTACACCTTCAAGTAATAAGGTTGACCTACCCACAAACCACCAACCCCCCTAATCCCCAAAACACCACCCCATAACCCCAAGCCCTGAAGCTGTAAACCTTCAAGCCCCAGACCCTAAACTCCCAGGCCCGACAACCGCAATCCCCTAAGCCCTGTAGTTAGCACCCGCTGTCTAGAGCAGGAGCCTACACCAGTCAAAGTTCCTGTCTGGGAGTATGCGGATGGTGAATGGAAGCAGGCCTCAACTACGGTACCGGTACTAGACATACATGAGATTCTGAGCTACGTTCATTGTGAGCTGGGATTGCAAACCCCGCCGGAGAAGGTCAAAGAATACTGGGCACACCTGTGCAGCCACGGTGTTCCCTTTGCCACTCGTCACCCTTCTACACATGCAAACGAGCCGTGCCGACATTCCCACATACCGTTCTCACTTTATGGAGATGAATGCCAGCTGTCAGCAGATGGTTCGGAGAAGGTGACAGCCATGTTTGTCTCCTTAACTCTTTTCCGACCCAAAGAGGTTAGGCTTGGACACTTTATGGTTTTTTGTATGAAGGACGAGTTCATGGTTCACGAAAACCTTGCGACCCTGAGCCCCATTCTGAAGCACATTGCCTGGAGTTCGAATGTGGCCTTTGATGGCAAGTTTCCACAATGTGGGCCAATGGGCGAAGCTTTGTCATCTTCGAAGATGGCCCGGGCCGGGGATTTCCTGGCGCACGGACGGGCATTCGCTGCTTGTGAACTTCGGGGAGATTGGAAATGGCATGAAAGGACACTTCGGCTGCTTCACACTCCTACAAGCACATGCTGCTGCCTGTTCTGTGGGGCTGAAGCTTCTGATGAGTCCCCGCTTCGATATTACGAGACTGGAGAGTCTGCAGGCTGGGCTTCCACGATTGCTACAACAGCAGACTTTTTGCTTCACAAAGTTCGGCCTGGATGCTTGAGTGACTTGGACTGCATGTCTAAATCCTGCTACCAACCTACTATAAGTATTCTATTCTAATAACTGGACAGTGATCCATGAGGTCCTCTGTCATTTCTCCGTGGGTTCGATATATCCATGGTCAAGTTCTGTAGCATGCATGTGAACAACCTGGGCCTCACCCTTACAGCGAACGGTGGAGCAATGAAGGCATTAATGGATGCTGGTGTATGGGGTGATGCAGCTGTTGTATCAGAGGATGCACAACTGGATAAAGCTTTCCAAGAGTTCAAGGTTTGGAAGAAAACCAAAGGAGTTCCATGCAGCCAAAAGCGGTTCCGGCTTACACGACTGAAGAAGGAATCGCATGGATACTATTTTACAAACAAGGCCTATAACAGCAGAATCCTGCTCCAATGGCTGTCTGAGACGTGCACACTCGAAGCTGCCCGTGCACATCCTAATCAGTCCGAGCTGGCCCTCCATGCGGTTGCACTGCAGCCCAGACAGCAATCATGAGCATCAATTTGCTGCTAGTTCGAAAATAAACAGCTAAATTTAGACCTAGTGCCTTCCGACTCGTTTTATTTACAATGAAAGCCTGCACCCGTTCCCTGAGTCAGGTCCTCCTATGCTGAATGGTACTCGCGAGTCGAAGCAGCCCCACGATACGTGCAGCACGGCAGCACGGCATGGCTATGATTTCTGCAATGATTATAGGTTGCAGCTTAGGACTGAATCTGATGCTGAGAAAATCTACACAGCGGGCAACAAGTTCTTGCAATGCCATCGGGTGCTGACAATCAACAGTCACAGGCGCAATGACCCCAACCTTCCTTGCCCTTTAAAGGGTTGTAATTTTGAGCCCTGCTTCTCTACATTTCGTGCTGTTTGGGATGCCCTGCTCTCCTAGCATCGAAACCTGTTGCAGCTGCATACTAGCTATGGTCAGGAAGGGACTCCTTGCTTGGGTCATGAAACCGAAATTCCCTGTGCCTTGCTTGCATCAAAGTGTGAAGGTTGCATGGTTCGTTGTTTTCTGATCACATGTGCCACCTGAGGCAATGGCACATTTATTGCGAGATACTCGAAACTGGCGACCCTGGGCTTCAATTACGTACACATCGCCTCTGCGACTTTCATGTGAGCCGATATTCAACTGATTTGGTTTGTTCAGGACTGAATGTGCGATACTATCACAATTTTGGTGGTGAAGATTCGATGGGGTGGATTAAACGCCAGGGACCTACGAGCTGCTAATAACTGCTACCCCATTTATTGGCCCTTGGCCCTTGTGAATTCCGTGAGGCACAGCTCTGAAGGCACCTCGTGGTCATGATAATCTTTCACGATGGATGACCAAGATGGCCAATCTTAAACTGCTGGCAAGCAAGAAGAAGCTCACCCCGACACTGGGCACAAAGTGCAGAGCCTGGCTTCCTCTTGCAACAGATACACGTCTAGCTGAGATCTCAGGAAAAAAATTGCTGCTGGCTTCCGAAGGTGATCTCGGTGTCATGATTCTCGGCTGACACTCAAAGTGTGCACACCAGTGCAATGTTCGAGCAAACTATCGAATCTGAGGAATGTGGTCGCTGCTTCTGCTGGGTGCGAAAGCGAGAAGTGTGCGCTTTCACGAAAAAATGAACTGGAGAGGCTTTCGGGAGTTAGTTCTAGAGCGAGAAAGCATAGTGTCAGGCCTGACTTGCTCAAGTTTAAGGGTCAAAACATGAAGGCTTCAAAGCCTTCAAATGCTAGGCTCATCATGGCCTATTTGTGTGGGGACGAGGTGCTATTCAGCAGTGAGTCTAATCCAACTGAGTGGTGAAGTCACTATAGTTTTGGGTTTCGTGGGTGGTCTCTTCATATGCTTTTGGCTCAATTTGTTGGTGGCTGGAGGTACTTTAAAGATAGGTCGTTGCAGATGACCTTTGACGCAACCGCCCGGTTAATCGTGCTGGTTACCAACCGCCTCAGTAAACCCGGTGGTTAGAGCCTTAGGGTAATATAGTACCCAATATATATAGTGGTAGGATCCTTACTATAACGACCCCACAATAAGGTACCCCTCATTTTCGGAAACTCCTATCTTTGCCGGGTGCCCATGGTACTATACCAGGGAACCCCAAAATCGAATTGGTAATTATTTAAGCCGCTGATTTGTACTAAGCCTCTGCTAGGGCTCCTTAAAGGGATCTTTTGGGGTTCCTATAAGGGGCCAAATTTGTTACTAATACTATTTCAATGGTTCCTTATTATAAGTACAGTGTCTTGAGCCCCATTACTGGGTGCCCCGGGCGAGCAGGATGGACTGGCCGGCCGGAATGGACACCAGCGCATCAGCCACAGGAGGCTCCTGCAGAGGCTCCAGAAAAACCGAATTCTAGGGGCTCCTTATCATAATTCTAGCATAATGGGCCCCAAAACACTATTCCATTTCTTAAGGCTCCTACATTATAGCCGCTAAGTAGTTTAGGGCCTCGGGCTTACGATTTCAGGCTTAGGGTTTCGGGAATAGGGGCTTACTTTCATATCGTATCGTGTAGTATCGAAGTGTCGATTTCAACAGTCCCCGAAATTATGAATAACTAAGCCTCTGAAAGTACAACTATCGCAAACCGATGCCTAGTAATTTAGCCAAGTAAAGTAGACTGTACAGTCCAGTGTGTTGTCTGGGGACATTGGACCCCCCAGAGGTTCAGCATTCAGTCCCAGCCCTTTCGCAATCTGCTCGTGATCCGTCCATGAACTTCAGAGAGCCGGGTTTAGGGCTCAAGCTTTAGGATGGCCAGTATATATGCAGCATTCACAAGCGAGTACGCATATAAACTCGTACTATGTATCTACATCTCATAAATTACATATGTACCTGTACACTGTGCAGATGTGTATACATGTACACATAGGTACATGTGTGTCCAGGCACACTCACACATAGACATACCTCCATCTGCAAATGTACGCAACTGTATGTGCAACACCGGAAAGCAAGTCGCGCAACCATGTCACATCGCTCACCTCTGCATGTGATTTTGGCCCTCGACAGCATCTTCAACCCTTGAGCTTTGATTTGCATTCCGGTCTACTACTGGACATTACTTCTATGAAGACTGGTACATATATAGCCCAATAGACATCAATCAAATGGTTAATCCTAAATCAGATTGCGGAACCTAAACCCAAACTGTCCCTCTGTCTCTCTCTCTCTCTCTCTCTCTCTCTCTCTCTCTCTCTCTCTCTCTCTCTCTCTCTATATATATATGTATACATATTATGCTTTTGCCAGCTTCCTTTTCTTGATGAACTCTGGGATACGCTGGGTCCAGAAACCGCGGCCCGAGGAGCATCCCCCAAACCACCACATACGACAGTGTTCACATTTGTGTTGAGGGTTCAGGGTGTCGAGTTCAGGTTTTATGCTAAAGGTTTAGGTAACAATCCTCTGACACTCTCTGCTGAAAAAACACAGCCTCAGGGGCAAATACAGCACCATTGCGGAAAGTGCGTCAAACATGATCTTTGATCATGGCTCCGTACAAGCATTGTTTACGGACCCTCTTCGATTCCAAGTCATTAGACAACAACCCTCTAGTTACAAACCATAATAACAAAAACAAAAACAAGTATAATACTAATGTACAATACTATTGATGACCCAGCAGGTTCTGGCCTGATTCGCCCAAGTGTCGAGAAGCGACCATCGGTCCAAGTAGCCTCGGTTGGTGCAACAGAGTTTAGTAATTTCCTTTTTGAAACTTGAGGGTTTAGGGTTTAGGGGCCTTGGGACTTCCTTGCTGTTTTTCTTGTTTAAAGTTTCTAGGGTTTAGGGGCCTTGGGATTTTCTTTTTGAAAGTTGAGGGTTCCATAGCGGCGTAGGCGTATGCCTTTGGTTTCAGGCGAAGCTTCCGGCTCCTTAGGAAGTAGGGCTTTCTTTTGTTTTGGGTCGGGGGCCTGCATAGGATTTCGTGGCGTAATCATTGCTTAGGAACTGCTCCTGACTGCTCCTTGGTATCTCTAACATTGAGGCTCTGTGGCTGCCAGTGGTCTTCTGACGTCATTGGTGCTGGGCGTTCTGTAGCTGCCTCGCCCGAGTGCTCTAGGTTTAGCACAGGGCGTTCGCCGAACTTGAACCCTCGAAGTACACTCAAGCATAGCCTAAAATGACGGCTTTAGAACTTCGTGGCTTAGGATCTCCGTGTCGTCGGGTCATTCTTTCGTTATCCGATCCTGCCGAATGACTGGTTTACGAGAAGCGGCTTGTATCCCTTATAATATGATAGCCCGTTCGCTCATCCTAAACCCTAAGCCATTCATAAACTTTAGACCCTAAACTGTGATAAACCTTAGAACCTAAACCCTCTATAAACCTTATATAAACCCTAAACCCTTCATAAACCTTATATAAACCCTAAACCCTTTATAAACCTAAACCAAAACCCTTTACAAACCTTAAGCTATACTGAACTTGGAACCCTAGCAAAAATTCTAAGTTTAGCTGTTTATTAGTGGTTATAATAACCAAAAATTAAAAATTATTTCTAAGTACGCCTAAGTAAGCCCTTTTAAGCAGCCCTCTCCGAAGCCGAGAGTCGGTAGCGAGTTCCAGGCTTCACCCAGGCATAGCCGGCACCTCGCTTTACAGTAAAAGCCAGAAAGTTGGAATATGATTATCCTAAACCCTTTATGGTACATTATAGGGTATCCTACCCTGAAACCATATTCCAACTTTCTGGAGTTCCCTTTAGATCCCCACGCCGCTGTAAGGAGTTCCAGGTTTCGGAGTTAGGGGTTTATAGGGCTCTACGGGTTTAGGGTTTACGGCTTTTGGTTCAGGGTTTTGAGGTTTAGGGTTTTTGCTTTAGGGAGGCTCCATATTTTGTGGTCTATACTAGCGCTCTGGGTTCCAGGCTATAGGGTTGCCTGAAGCCCCTGCTACAAGACCTCCGGTTTTACATACCCACACAGATTAAAGGCTACATGCAACCTGCTACCCAAAACCCCAAATCTCAAGCTTGAAGCCCGGCCATGCATGAATGCGTGGGTTGTGCTTCTGAGGGCAGGGTTTACTGGTGAACTGCCTG